ATTGATAGCCTCACTGGTCAGCAAGAATCCCACTTAAGGATCCATCGATCGATCGAGTCATTGGGTGGAAATAATATAACTTAAAAATCCAACGATTGAGCTCCTCATTGGGCAAATACTGATCTCCTCTATGGGCAAACTTCTCTTGACCTCTCAAGTTTTCTGCAAAGAAATGGATAGTCAAACATAGAGACTTTAACATAATGAAAAGTGAGGTGGCTCATTAAAAACCTTCGACCCTTGTAAGAGCGTAAAAAGGGAAAAGAGTGCACCCGATAAAGTAATATTTTCTTTACAATTGGTAGAGATACAATACTCACCCACAAAAGTAAAACAATAAAATAATATTAAAGAAAAACAAATGGCAGTTATGTTAAAGCCTTCAGGCGATATATCTCCCGAATCTTTAATCTTCGGCCCCTTCAAAGGTTGGGGATGAGGTTTCTTCTCCTTTGTGGAATTTCTTTGGTGGCTTTACCTAAGCTTATCTTTTTGACCTTTCCGCCTTGAGTGCAAATCCTCTTCAACCTGAGGCTTTTTGCGTAACATTTTCTGGTGATTTCCTGATTTCATTTGATAACCTCTACTCGCCCGTTAGGGAACGAGTAATAAATGAAAAAATAAAAAGTAGACAAGGCTTCTCCTAGCCGGTTAAAGGATGGTTACTCTATAATATTATTATACGAAGATGGGGAATCAATATATCCTTTTATATGTACTTGTTCTCTTGAGAATCTAACCAGTGATCCTTTGAAGGGGCTTTGGGTCTTATGGGATGAGGCAATGTAATTCAAATGCGTCATAGTATAATATGTCTATATAGCCTCCTTAATCGACAAGAACTGTTTTAATCTCACAATCTTCGCATTTGACGATAATGACCATGGGATCATCATTATGAGGGTGGATGCCAACTGCATCTTTCTCCGAGAATGTGGTCGTGGCTTTTGATGCATGGAGCTCACCTTCAATATTCACCTCAGAAAGATTTTCCACACTCAAGATCTGGCGAGCAAACCTTTTTCTGGCAGAGCTAGTTTCGCCGCCTCTAGCGAACCATCATGTTATAGTGTTGAGTGTGTGATGTGTATCTTTGATGTACTTTCCCTGATGTGACTCTCTATTTTATTGGGCCCGGGGCTCCCATATTCCTTAACTCTTCTAATATTTTTTAAGGTTCCCCTCCTATATCAGTCTCTCGATTTCCTTCTTAAGATTATAGTAGCTCTTAGTATGATGTCCCTTCACCTCATAGAATTTACACCATTTTCTTAGGTAAGAATCATCACATGCGCCTTAGGACAAAGATAGGTGTTCATAAAAAAGGAAAAAATCCATAAATGTGGGAAGCGTATAAATAAATATTTTAAAATAGGCATAAAAAAACTAACTTTATAAAAATTATTAGTAATATTGATGATATTATATTTGTAGTATGTTTAGGAAACTCTTTGCTAAAACAAACACGCGTGATGACAAAAGGAAAAAAAACAACAACTCTCCAAGGAAATGGAGGAAACTCTCATGTAGGGTTTGTCCCATTGAGAATCATCAACATCGTGAATCCTCGTCGTCGACCACTTTGTGTCACCTCCATATGGAGGATCTCAATTCTAGGTCGTAGTCTTAATCTCCTCAATTTTTGTCTTTGATTTCTACAATTTCTAAAGTATGTTTGCTTTGAAGAATCACCTTTGCAGGATCTCAAGTCATCATTCAAGTAACTCTCATTTCTCTTTGTGTAGATAGGTTTTTGAAGCACTCACTCTTTCTTTATAGTATCATTACTACCAATATACTTCTGCACTCTGTCTCTAGATCCTACAATGTTCTCATACCAAATTCCAATTCAAACACATGCATAAAATTTTGATAATACCTTGTGTAATATATAAAATAGAATGGTTAATTAATTATTTTGTTTGCTTGATTGTTGTTCAAGCTTGTGAATAATTTAAAGGTGTGAAAAACACAAGAAAAGGGGATTTGAATTGGGTTTTTAAAACAAAAACTTTTCTTTAAAAAAATATTCCCATTTAAGTTAAAAGTGTTTTTTTCTTCACTCTTGATAATAACGATAAGTAAGAACATGAAGTAAAGAACAATGTATGTTTATACTAGTTCACTTGAAATTTATCAAGCTTGTCTAGTCCACCTGCCAAGGTGATTTCGCGTCACTCAATCGAGGACTTAATTCACTATAACCAAATTGATTACAATTTGCACAAGCTATCTGCAAGTGACTAACAACCTCTAAGACTCGCAAATCCTAGACTTCTTAAGGATACAGACCTACCCGGTCCCTTAAGGAATATCAAACAATAATCAACCTGATTATTACAATGCACAAGCTACCCATAAGTGACTAACAACCTCTAAAACTCGCAAGTCCTAGACTTCTTAAGGATACATACCTACCAGGTCCCTTAAGGAAAATCAAACAACCGTTTTAATACAAGTTTTGTTTACAAGAGTATTGCTTTTGTACAAGATGAATATGTAAAGTATTTTAAGAACAACGACTAAAGAATATCAAATCTATGAACAACGTATGCGCGTGAATATTTTGTTGGTTTGCTGCTTTCTTTCTTAGTCTTCAAGCCTTTATATAACCAATAAAATTATAATATCCGTTAAGGGGTATTCTTGGGATTTCCAGAACCATTGGCAGGTTGAACAGTAAGGTGGGGGACAAGATTGTGTGACGCATTTTTCCTTTCATGGTAGTGGAATGAAAAGTTGATTGTACCATGTACTATTTGTACCACGTTAACGTTATCTTCTTTCCTTATGCACTTCAGAGACTTCTACGAGTATGAGTTTAGAAGCAAGAACATAACACAAGGTCATTGAAACTTCAAGTCTTTAGAATCTTCAGATCCGCGTCTTTAGAATCTTCATCACTTAGTTGTGAGAACCTTTTCTTGGAACCTTAGGTCTTTAGAATCTTTAGAACTTCTGCCTTTAGAGTCTTCAACACCTGGTTTTTAGAACCCTTATCTTTAGAACCTTTGGTCTTTTAGAAACTTGAGTCTTTAGCATCCGAACTTGAGTAGAAACTTCTGCCTTCAGATCTTCAGACTATTTCTTTAGAACCCGTTGTCTTCAAAAACATGAGTCTTCAGCATCTGGACTTAAGTAGCAACTCATGTCTTTAGATCTTATGACTGATTTCTTTAGAACACACTGTCTTTAGAAGCTTGAGTCTTTAGCATCTAAACGTAAGTAGAAATTATTTTCTTCAGATCTTCTGACTGGTTTCTTTAGACAAACATCAGAGCCTACACTTCAAAGCCTTCTGGAGTGTCTTGCTACTGTTAAACAGAACTTGTTTAGCGTAGAAGCGGAATTAATTATCTTGGAATGTCTTGGCAACACCATCCGTTAAACGAATAAATAACTGAAAGAACATACCTTATCAGCATCAACAGAAGCGCCTCCTTCCTCGTGCTTCTTCGGTTGGCTTGAATGTTTCTCCTTCTTGGAGTGCTTCTTCTTCGCTGCTAATTTCTTCCCCATGGTGAGCTTGCTAATTTTGTTTGATATTGAACCCTAGATTTTCCAGGGAGTTAATCAGAAGACTAAATATTTGTAATAAACACAAACATTCCAGCATGGATTTTAATAACACAGTCAGCAAAAAATCTAATGCCACGTATGAAACTCATAGGGAATCTTGGGGTACATGGTTTTCTGTTTGGGAATCTATATTTGTTAAGGGGCAGAAAGATTTTTTTTAATAGGCGGGTAAATCAAAACTCGCTACTATTGTAAGGGGGTAAAGTATATTTAAAGTTGTCGTTGATTATATCATCAAACTTTGTTAACACCAGAGTCTTGGGCGGTATCTCATTCTTGTTATCATCACCTATAGACGTTCCTCCCGTAAACTTGACCAAAAATTTGTGCGACGAAGGTCTAAAAGCCAACACATTAGGCTAAACCTTAAAATTTGATATCATGTAAGTATGGTCCAATGCCAATTTATCATCAAACAAAGCCACGTGTTCTGCTGGGACAAGAACATGTATGTCCCTACCCTGTGCAACACAGATACACAGAAAAGGTTAATGTGTAACCAAAAAACAATAAACATAACACATCATATGATTCACAGATGCACAGAAAACAAAAATTACCGCCTTGTCCACAAATATCATCTCAAAATGCTCTCTATTGTTAGACAGAATCTTCGATTTGTGATGCACTCGCACAAAGACCTTCCACAACTCTTTGCTATCATTGATGTCGCAAATTTTCGCCACAGGTCTAACCATGAAGTAGAGTCGCTTGCGTGAAGCAGAAAAAACTTGAAAGTTGAGTATTTCTGGGAGACGAAGTGTTGGAAGAAACAGTCAGTATGGAGGTTATAAATAGTGGAATCATGATGGAGAGTGGGGCGGTTGAAATAAAAAACGCAACAATGAGAAAGTAACCGCTGCAATCATGGATCAGTGGCAGTGGAACGATGAGAAGTGGAAAGAGGATGAAGAGGAGAAGGTAGGGTTTCGTAACCGCAACACACAATGATGAGTCAATCGAACAAAATTGAAAGAAAATAAGATTTGTAACAAACACCTGTATGTGTTGTAAGGAATATTCCAATCCTTTAATTGTCCGTGAACATATCAACGAAAACAATTCACAGCGTGAAACAATCATGAATGAAAAAAATAAAAAATAATTATTTTAGTCAAAAATTATTTTACACTCTAATCTAATAAAAACATACCACTCTTTTCTATTATAAAAAATAGTTTAAAATTTTCAATTTAATTTAGCAGAATACATAATCTTTATTGATTAGTGCATCATCCATTTCCTTTTAAAAATATCATTTTATTAAAAACATTTTAAAGATCTATATATATATATATATATATATCACTACCACAAATCTAACATCGTCACTACCATTCGAATCAGAACCTTCACACACTCATCATCACCACGTTCTTTTTTTCTTCCTTTCTTCACTCTCACGAAGAATCGAATCAACAATGGCTACACCATCTTCAACTCGATTAGATCTCGACGGAAACCCAATCAAACCGCTAACAATCTGCATGATCGGCGCCGGAGGTTTCATCGGTTCTCATCTCTGCGAGAAGCTGATGTCTGAAACCGCTCACAAAGTTCTCGCTTTGGATGTTTATAATGACAAAATCAAGCATCTTCTCGAACCGGAAACGCTTCCGTGGAATGGAAGGATTCAGTTTCATCGGCTTAATATTAAGAGCGATTCGAGACTTGAAGGTCTCATCAAGATGGCAGATCTGGTAATTTGAAATTTTTGTTGAAATTAGGGTTTCTTTTCTTGAAATTTGTTCTTGAATTTTGAAATTTTGTGTTTGCTAGGTCATAAATCTGGCTGCAATTTGTACTCCTGCGGATTACAATACGCGTCCTTTGGATACCATTTACAGTAATTTCATTGATGCGCTTCCTGTGGTATGTCTTCTTGTGATATGATGTGATGTGATTCATGTTTGAATTTTTTTTTGGTTTTGTGTAATTTTGAATTTGAATTTGAATTGGGTGTGTTTTGTTTTTGGTTATTGTTCAGGTGAAGTACTGTTCTGAAACTAATAAGAGGCTTATTCATTTCTCTACTTGTGAAGTGTATGGGAAAACGATTGGTAGTTTTCTTCCTAAAGATAGTCCACTTCGGCAGGTGAGCTTTCATTTTTCTTTTAGAATCTTTTTGATTTGTTTCAGATCTGTGATTCATTAGTTATGATTTTGTGTTTGAATAATTTGGAACTTATCATCCCAATTAAGGTCACTTGTTAGGAAACTCTCTATCAGCGACACCTCAGAAAAAATGTGTCCCTGTCATTGTCCGAAAATTTAAGAAAACTCATGATTTTAGTTTGTATAAATTTTTTTAATACTATTGTTAATAGTTGTAGAAATGACAATTTGGTTACTGTCTTTCTTGTCTTTAAAGATTTGTCCAGGAAGTGCTGGTTTGTACTAGTAAAAATGAATTAATAGATATAATTTTTGGTCAAAACCAAATAGTACTTCATGATTTTTGGATCTGGATCTGGATGATGTTGACATTGCACATTTTTCACTTGTACACTTGTTTTCTTTGTTATATGAGATGCACATGTTGTGAATTGACATCACTCTGCAACTATGTAGCACCGACACTGACCCTTGTAATAAGGTTAATTTATTCTTTTTTTTTTCCAAATTATTACCGGTGTCTGTTGTGTTTGTTCAAGTGTTTTTGCTTCATATCTTTGCATCCTGTTTGCTTAGTAATGATGGTGGACTTTTTCAATCAATTGTCCTTCTGTTCTGCTTTTGATTTGGGTTGTTTCCAATGTTGTGTTAGGATCCTGCATACTATGTGCTTAAAGAAGATGTGTCTCCATGCATTTTCGGTTCAATCGAAAAGCAAAGATGGTCATATGCATGTGCAAAGCAGTTGATTGAGAGGCTGGTTTATGGTAAGAGCTGATTTTGCTTCTCTTTTTTATTGGTACAGTCTGATTGTGTTTTTCAATATTAACTTATGTGATCATTGACAGCTGAAGGTGCTGAAAATGGCTTGGAGTTTACTATTGTGAGACCCTTTAATTGGATTGGACCCAGAATGGACTTCATTCCCGGCATCGACGGTCCAAGTGAGGGTGTTCCTCGGGTTCTTGCATGCTTCAGCAATGTTAGTTACATTTCACTTTCTGTTTTCTTAATTTTCTAGATATCTTATCTTAGCTGAAGATTTGAATAATTGTTGAAATTTTGTCTATTCCTTTTCTGCAGAATCTTCTCAGAGGAGAGCCCCTCAAGCTTGTCGACGGTGGCGAATCGCAGAGAACCTTTGTTTACATCAAAGATGCCATTGAAGCTGTCCTACTGATGATTGTAGGTTATTTGATATAAGTATTGTGTTCCTCTACTTCTTATTATTGTTGTTGGTTCTTCCGCTAACCGTTATGTGACATGTTTTTTTGACAGGAAAACCCTGCCAGAGCCAATGGCCACATCTTCAATGTAGGTAACCCAAACAATGAGGTTACAGTTAGGCAGCTTGCCGAAATGATGATCAAGGTAAAACAATTATTATTATAATTCGGTTCTAATGTTAGAATTTTAACCTTGTTGCGATTCAATTCAACAACCATTGCTGTTCTGTTCCATTCTACAGGTCTATTCAAAGGTAAGTGGAGAACAGCCTCCTGAAAAATCTACAATCGATGTAAGCTCGAAAGAGTTTTACGGTGAAGGATATGATGACAGTGACAAGAGAATTCCTGACATGACCATAATCAACAACCAGCTCGGTAAGTTTAGGTTTCGGTTTGGTTTCAGTTTCATGGTTCTTTCTTCAACATTTCAAGTTAATTTACCTGTGAACGATGTTGTGTGCTGCGCAGGATGGAATCCAAAGACTTCACTCTGGGACCTGCTCGAATCGACACTTACCTATCAGCACAGGACATATGCAGAAGCCATCAAGAAAGTCATTGCACAACCCATTGCGAGTTAAAAGCTTTTTATTAAACAAACATGAATGGCAATTCCAGAAGGGTAGTGTTACTTACCCAAGTACCTTACAATTATATATTACTGTTTGAATTTTTACATATATGGTAAATTTAATGTAGAGCTTTGCACTATTAAACAAGTTATGGCATTTTATAAAGGAGAAAAGTGTCTTTTTGTCCTCTTTTTTCTTGTTGGTGTTTTAGAGGTCGGCGCTCATTGTTTTGTCTGTCTTTTCTTTCTTTCCAGTTCAGTTGTAAGTTGTAATATTCTGTTGACACTCAATACTCATGTGCTCTAAATTATTTGTCATTAATTAATTTATTGTATGAATTATTTTTTTGCTGTTGCAATCTGGCTATTTTGTCGTTAATTAATTTTGAAATATTGACTTGATGTGTCCTATAATGAGCTGTACACCATTAAAATTTATTAGAGCAATTGTATTAATTAAAGAAAAAATAAAGTTGAAATACAGCTGGTTCAGTCTCAAATAGTCACAAGAATTGCCGGTGCCGTGTATTGCATTAAATTAACGCGTGAAATATTTAATTATACACAATTTTTTTCTTTTCTGAATTTGGTAATTTTTGGAACATGCTAATTTTAGTTAAAAAAATAACTAGTAATAGATAAGTTCATGGATTATCTATAAATAAATTAAGGGGATTTCTTTTGTTGTCACTAGTGAAAAATTTAAAATATTTTTATAACAGTTAACTTTGCATATGCATTTGCGAATTAACCTATAATTTATTAAAAAAAAGATAATTTCGCATGTGTATATGTGAAGTTATCCATAATTTTTTCTTTTGCATGTGCATATGTAAGTCTGTATATTGTATCGAAAACAAATAGACCTCTCAATCCTTTTCTATTCAAACACCAAAAAATTTCATTTTCTTCTCTAAATCTTAACATTTCTATTATTCAAATTCACTAATTTTTACTTATCTTTACATTTCAACTCTTTTCAAGTCATCCCAAATCATCTCTAAGCTTTCAAATTTGTGAAAATTTTCTCCAAATTAATTTGATTCACAATGCAATCTTGTAATAGTTTATTAGGTTAGTTTATAAAAATTACATTTTGAGTATGTTGGTGTCAGAATAGTTAAATGTAGTTGCTATAAAAAATGACATTTGAGTGTTTTAGGGCAAGAAGCAGCAGTTTTGAAAATGGTTGTGCGCAGGGGGTTTCGCATGTGCACTTGCGAAGTCACCCTAGACCAGTTTTGCATGTGCACATGTAAACTTTTGTCTGAGTTGTTTTATTTTCAAAACTTAACAATTATAATTATTTATTTTAGGAACATGGCTGACAATCAGGACCAGAGCAGGCGGTTGAGACAAGGTAGGCCAAACCAGATTGTCTCGTCTCGTCGAGAGAGACAGAAGTAGCAGGTTAATCGGCCTCGAGGACGGGGTCAGATACAAGGGAGTAATTGGATGTAGTTTCTCCTTCTGCACCGAGGAGTCGTTTACATCGGGTGTCTACCTCTCGTGTGCATGAGCAGATATCTGATGAGGCGGATGTTCCAGAAGAGTTTGCGGTGCCTGAGGTGGATGAGGTACCCGAACATGTTGCGGTACCCGAGGAGGCGGAGCAGGGCTATCCAGGAGGGTCATATGACACATCCCTCTTGATTTACTATCATGATCATACCGCTTGACATGTTTGAGAAAGAGAGGTATATTTTTGGTTGCACTTTTTCATTTTATATTTTTTACTCAAAAATATGATTGTAACAATTATTACTATTTTTGTTTCAGGAACGATTGCCCATAAAGCATGTGAATCACTCGCAGAAATTTTTTGATTTGTTTAAACCTGCGGCTGAGTGGTTCCATGTTGTTGTGTTTGGATCCAAACTTGCTGAATTATGCTATACATGTTACAATACTATAAACACCGACATGCAGAGGGATTTTGTTGAGAGGTGTCACAAAGAGACGTCGTCTTTCCACTTTCTTGTTGGGGAGATGACCATCACACTTGATGATGTTGCTTGTTTGATCCACTTATCTATCATAGGCAGGTTACTTAACTATCACAAGATAACACGAGCTGAGGCAGTTGAATGGATGATTGAGTATCTGGGATCTGGTTCGTTCAGGGCATTTGAGGACTGCAGAGCCACTAATGGGGTGTATGTAAAATTCTCCCACCTGAAGGATCTATATAAGGAGCATCTGGTTGCAGCAGCAGGTGTCAAGGATGAGGAGGACGAGGTTTTTGTTCACTTTCACCGAGACTGAGCTTTGTGGTGTTACTATATGTTCTTAATTGACACGCCCCTCTTTGTGGACAAAAGCGGGACCTATACAGATGTGACATACTTCCGGTATTTTATGGATATGACTATGATTTGTGAGTGGAACTGGGAGGCCGCTATTTTGTTATACCTCTACCAGAAGTTGAATGAAGTTTCAAATTAGAAGACGAGACAACTCACTGGCTCATGCACACTCCTCACAATACCTTTCATTTCAACTATTAACTTTAATTTGCTTTGATTAATTTGTACTTACATATTATGTTATTGTTTTCGCAGAGCTGAATCATCTCTCACTTCCATCGAATTCATGGTTTCGAACCAGATCTGGTTTATATTGACGACATGCCAAGGGCTGTAAAGTATGTCCTCCACAGAGAGAATCATAAAGTTTCGTCTTACCGGGTGTATCTTGATTGTACTAATCATGATGACATCAAATGGTCGTCATTTGAGGATTACAAGGATGTTGTCCCATTTGATTCCATCTCATTATACTCTAGGTAGCTAGCATGTGGGTTGAATCTTATGGTCAGGTATCTTCCAGAGAGGTGTATCCGACAATTTGGTTATGTATAAATGATAATGAGATCTTCTTTTTAAGCTGCTCCCGACACCATTGTCCAGCGGGATCTCGATGTCATCTACCAGGATTGGAAGAATCATTTAGTGCCACAGGAGTATCGGATGATGCCGATATCTGAGAGTTGGCATTGTGTAGAGGGTTATGTGACATGGTTCTTTAATGTGTCACACCCTATCATGACATCGGGTGGTCCTGGACGTCCGCCTAGGCCAATTCATGAGGAGCTCTTGGAGAACCAGCGAGCTAAGGATGACCATGCCACTGATCTCTTGCCGGTCTGTCAGTAGATACACCTACTTGGCCAGGAGGCATTGGATTCTGGTATCACCGAGAGGGGTGGTCCTAAGGCGGTTGTCATAGTCGGGAGGATGGTCAATAAGACATCTAGTGCGGCTCAGTACAATCAACAAAGGAGGTCACAGGGGATCAGGACCAGGCATACGCAGTAGCCTATGTTATGTTTTGTTTTTTTGTTGTTGGCGTAATATTTTGACCGTACTTACTTACTTTTCAAACAATTTATGTATAAATTATATTTGAACATCTAATTTAATCGTTATGTCCGTATTGTTATGCTCGTTTTATATTTTTAAAAAGATCGTAAAAAATTTGTCAGATTATAAAATTGTGGAATGATGTAATTTTATACAAAAATAACACAAACAAAGGAAGTTTCACATATGTACAACCGAAACTTTTTTCTCAGCAGGTTTCGCATATGCACATGCGAAACAACTTCTAAACTGCTAAAAAGTAGTTTCTTTGCATGTGCACATGTTAAACAGTCTGAGAGGTGATTTCACATGTGTATTTGCGAAAAGTATTTTCGAATTTTCAGTAGTAAAAATTGCCACTATTAAATATAAAGGAAAATTCTCTAAATTAATTAATTATTTTTATAGACTCAGATAAAATTAGCTGATTTAACTTATAAACATGGATCTATATATATATATATATATATATATATATATATATATATATATATAGTTTCATTTAACTTATAAGTTCATGAAACTATAGTCTAAAATAAGATCCAATTATGTCAATTGTTAAATACATTTTAATTTTTCTAACCTTCGATTCTAATTTTTCTTATACTCCAACCAAAACAATTCTCACACTTTCTACTTATTTTTTCCACTTCTTTATACAAACTTTCTTTAAAATCTTTTTTCCTCATTTCACTTTCATTCTCGTACCAGACAAACTTTTAGTGCCATAGTAGTTAAATTCAAGTCAATGAAGTGACAAAACAACTTAGTAAAAGAATTTCCTAACTTACTTTAATCATTTTAACATTTTCTTTATCAAGTGGTCTATTTTTTTGTCCAAGCATTTTGTCGGTCAAGTAGGCCATAATGCTTTGTCATTTCTAGATGAAACGATTTAAGAAAAACACATGTGAAAGTGATTTGTATACTATATTTTATCAACAAAGAGATATAAGATCTAAATTAAATATCTTTTAGATCTTTCATCACGCGTTTAAACATTGTTTAGAGGAAGTGATAATAATTGGGTTTAAATATGTACGTCGTTATAATTATTGTTTTTTATTTGATTTTAGGCTTTTTAAATATTGTGTTTTTCCGTTAAGAAATAGAAATGAAAAATGATATAGAGAAATTGTGTTTATTGCGGTGGATTTTTACATCAGATGCGGTGGAAAGAGTCGGTGAATAAGATTAATATTTTAATGTTTAAATAAATAAATAAAATTAAAAATAATATAAATTAGTGAGAAAAATAAAAAATAATATATGAACAAAAATGAATTTAAATCTTTGAAATAACACGCGTTACCTTTAAATATCAAGAGCAATTGAAGTTACTCGCGCATAATGCGAGGTGTTGTGGAGATAACTGTCGGACTCAATCAAACAATGATTAATGTGTTGGAAGATATACTTATTTACTTTTGATTAATACGAAAATCTATCTATTTCGTGTGATTTTAATTTAAGGTTCGCGCTTAAGTCTTTTACGAATTACAAATTTTATGAACAACTTAAAACAATTTTATTTTTAATGTTTGTTTTTTTGTTTTATTCATGTAAAATTGTTTTATATTAAAATTAATTTTTGTAATATATAAAATATTTAATTTTTTAAAGATTAAAATCAAATATTATAACTATT